TAACCTCAACCAATTCAAATGCAGTGGCTGAGGTTTGAGAGGATTCTACTATATTCTCAAGCTCACCCAATTTCTGTATTAGTTTAGGAATCACAAATTTCGACCTCGGATCAATATTTTCTTTATCCTTCCAACACCAAAAGTTGCAAGATCTAGGACCCTTCAATAATGAAAAAGGATGAAGGAATTAGTGGTTAATCAAATTCTTAATCGGCTAAAAAAATTTAAACAAAAATGATCTTTACCCCATAATAAGGACATGACCAATATCTTCTTCCGGGGTTATTTGAAGTCCAAGATGTTTTCAAACGCACCACAAGTCCATGATTACAATAAACTTTTTTCTTCGTAGTATAATCATCTTCCATACAAAGATTTGTCAAATTAATTGATCGCATTGTGTGCTACAATTTTGTGCAAGAATTAACGAGAATCTGGAAAAAACAGAAAATAAGAAAAAGGGAGGAAAGAAAAATCAAAATAATAGATGAAGAAGAATAGGTTTGAATCTTACATTTTGAAGAACAATTCCTTCAAAGATTCAACTTTTAGGTTTGAATCTTACATTTTGAAGAACAATTCCTTCAAAGATTCAACTTTTAGGTTTGAATCTTACATTTTGAAGAACAATTCCTTCAAAGATTCAACTTTTAGGTTTGAATCTTACATTTTGAAGAACAATTCCTTCAAAGATTCAACTTTTAGGTTTGAATCTTACATTTTGAAGAACAATTCCTTCAAAGATTCAACTTTTAGGTTTGAATCTTACATTTTGAAGAACAATTCCTTTAAACATTCAACTTTTAGGTTTGAAGAGCTAAGATTTGAGAAAAATAATGAATTAGGTCACCATTTTTTGGATGATTGGGTTGGTGAGGGAGAAGAGGTATTTAGGGTTCTTCAAAAGTGAATATTGTTCTTCAAATGGGTAATGGATCGGATATTACCGTTGGAGGGGTAAATTTAATTTTAAAAAAATGCTAAAAGATGACTAACACGCCGTTCTAAGCTGTAACAACACGCACACAATGTTGATGTTCGGAGGGTTGAAAATAATTCACATAAAAGATGTTAAGGGGGGTATATAAACACCCGTGTAGTTTAAGTACTAAAGTAAGTTCTCACAAATTTCATATTTCTAGAAATGTTGTTTTCTTTGAGAATCAGTATTTCTTTCCTACGATTGTAGATTCATCTTCTGTTTCTCCTCTTCTTCCTACTTTTGAGGATTTATCATCTTCTTTTAAGTGGTTCAAACCTGGATTTGTGTATGAACGACGTCAGCCAATTTTACCCTATCCCGACACTAATCCGCCGCCTGAAACTGCACAACAACTAAAGTCTGAGAATTCTTCAAGATCTGGTCCTCTTGAGCCTACTCGGCGATCTACAAGAGTATCTCGTACTCCCAATTGGTATGGCTTTTCCTCTACTTTATCCAACATATCTGTTCCATCTTGTTACTCACAAGCTTCCAAGCATGAATGTTGGCAGAAAGCAATGGAGGAAGAACTTTTGGCTCTTAAAGAAAATGACACATGGGACATTGTTTCATGTCCTTCAAATGTCCGCCCTATTAGATGTAAGTGGGTTTATTCAATCAAACTTCATTCTGATGGAACTCTTGATCGGTACAAAGCTCGATTGGTTGTTCTTGGTAACAGACAAGAGTATGGGGTGGACTATGAGGAGACTTTTGCACCCGTAGCCAAAATGATTACGGTACGAACTATTATTACCATTGCTGCTTCACAAAACTGGTCTCTTTATCAAATGGATGTCAAAAATGCTTTTCTCTATGGTGATCTTAAAGAAGATATTTATATAAAACCTCCACCTGGTTTGTTCTCATCGCCTACATCAGTTGTATGCAAGTTGAAGCGGTCTTTGTATGGATTAAAACAAGCTCCAAGAGCTAGGTTCTTTTCCTTTGAGATGAGCTAGGCGAAGGTACTTCAGTTCATCAACATTCGTCAAGAGAATATGAGTGTGAAGGAGTATGCCTTGAAGTTCATGCAATTGTCTAGATATTTTCCTACTATAGTTGCCGATCTTAGTTTAAGGATGAGCAAGTTTGTTTCGGAAGTGTCTAAGATAGAGGTTAAAGAATGTCGTACCACCAAGCTCATCAATGAAATTGAAATTTCTCACCTAATGGTTCATGCTCAAAAAATTGAATAGGAAAAGCTTAAGAAAAGGTCTAGGGAGGCAAAGAGGGCTAAGACAGGCGATGGTGACTTTTCAAATTCAAGGTCTGACAGACATGGTCGTTCCAAGTTCCGACAAAGGTTTTCCAGTAAAGGTTCCTCCAATTATCCAGCACCTAAACTAAACAAATAAAAAGTGTCTAACTCTAAACCTCAAGGAGGAAATGGTTGAGGAAACAGATCTTCATTACCCACATACCAAAAGTGTGGCAATAGTCAACTAGGAAAATGCGTGATGGGTACGGATAATTGCTTTGGTTGTTGTTAAAATTGGTCACCGCTTGAAGGATTTTCCATCTAGAAATTCCAAGGGAAAGGATCGTAGGCAAGCTCCATCTAGTGGCTCAGGTTCAAATGTTCCAAAGCAAAACCTGTTCTATGTACTTCAAACTCGTAATGACGAGGTGGGTTCTCCTGATGTTGTTACTGGTATGTTGAAAGTTTTTCATCTTGATGTTTATACTTTGCTTTATCCCGGTGTTACCTTGTTTTTCGTGATGCCTTATTTGTCTATGAGGTTTGATGTTCTTTCAGATGTGTTGATATATTCTTTTTTTTGTCTCTACTCCTCTTGGTGAATCTATTGTGGCTAAGAGAGTCTATAGAAATTGCCTCGTCTCCTTATCCTATAGAGTCACTCATGTTGATCTTGTAGAGCTTGATATGTTAGATTTTGATGTTATTATTGGTATAGATTGGGTCCATTCATGTTATGCTTCCATTGATTGTGAAACCTGAGTGGTCAAGTTCCAGTTTCCAAAGGAGCCTGCCCTTGAGTGGAAAGGGGGAAACTATATGCCTAAGGGTCAGTTTTTATCTTGTCTTAAAGAAAGAAAAGTTATCTCTAAGGGTTGCACATATCATCTTGTTCAGGTTAGGGATACGGATTTTGAAACCCCTACTATTTAGTGGGTCCCGTTATTGATGAGTTTCTGGAAGTGTTTCTCGATGATGTACCCAGTTATCATTCCGAAAGGGAAATAGACTTCGGTATTGACCTCCTCCTCGATACGCATCCTATATTTATTCCTCTTTACTGTATGGCTGCGGCAGAGCTTAAGGAATTGTAAAATCAATTGAATGATTTGTTGGATAAAGGTTTCATCCAATCGAGTATCTCTACATGGGGTTCTCCAGTTTTGTTTGTTCCTAAGAAGGATAGTTTACTTCGCCTGTGTATTGACTACCGACAATTGAAAAAGGTTACAATTAAGAATAAGTACCCTATTCCAAGGATTGATGATATATTTGATCATCTCCAAGGAGCGAGCTACTTCCTAAGATCGACCTCCGGTCGGGTTATCACCAGTTCAGGGTGAAGGAAGAAGACATCCCAAAGACGGTGTTTCGAACTCAGTATGGTTATTAAGTTCTTAGTAATGTTATTTGGGTTGACTAATGATCCGGCCGCATTTATGAATTTTATCAATAGGGTGCTTAGACAATACCTTGATAGGTTTGTGATTGTGTTTATCAATGAAATCTTGATTTCTCACGAGTGAGGATGAGCATGCCAATCATTTGAGAATTGTGTTGTAAGTCCTGAAGGGAAAACAACTCTTTACAAAGTTTATTAAATGTGAGTTTCGGTTAATAACTGTGGATTTTCTTGGTCACATTGTTTCCGGCAAGGGCATTGAGGTATATCCTAAGAAGATGGATGTGCTTAAGAGTTGTCCTAGACCTCTATCCCATTCGGATATTCAAAGTTTCTTGAATTTGGCTGGTTACTATACAAAGTTTGTGGAAGGGT